GGAGGGAGAGGAGGCTGTCATTGGTGGTCTCAGCCCAGCAGAGGCCAGGCGGGCTAGGAACTGGTGGGGAGGGGGCCACTAGGGCCTCTGCTGGAACCACCTGGTGAGCCCCTAAGGGGAGGTCCCCACCCCAGGGCCTCTAGCACCTGTCTGGCCCCCTAGATACTTGACAAATGTGACTGAGGAAAGAATGGGGGGGGGGTAAAGGGATGCCCAAGGCCCCCTCTCTGGGCCTCAGGAAGGGAGCAGTGCCCCAGGTACCAGACCCAGCCAGACCCTCAGGACCAATGTCGGGTGCTGTCCATGGGAGGGTCTGCCTCAGACCCTCTGCTAGGGGAGTCCTGGGGGAGCTGGAGGCTCCTCTGGCTCAGAGAACAACGTAAAGCAGCTTGAAGCATTTGCTGAGAGACAGCACCACCTAGTGTGCAGAAAGTGCACGCCAAGCCATTGCCCGCAAGCTCCAGGCCTTGGGGATGATCACAGAAGTCCCTGTACCTGCCCCAGGTTCCCTGAGGACAATAATCCAGGGCTTCCATCACCTAAGCAGTGTCTGAGCCTCTGGTAGCAGGACCCTGCAGCATCAGCTGAGATCGGCTCTGCCAATGGAGAAGGTGGGCAGGTGAGATTTTAACAGAGATCCGTTTGGCCACAGGGCACAGGCAGAAATGCAGGGGCCTGCCCTCACATGGGTAAGCTCACTGGGGAACTGGGCTGATTGCAGTTCTGTTGTTATTGTTGTGTTTGTTTGTGGTGTCCTTAGGCTCACAAGGAAAATAAGTATGCTTGTGAAGCTCAAATGGCTGGCCCCTCCCCTCTCTACTCCCAGTCCACAGAATTCTCAGAGCCTCCCGCAGCTCAGGTCTCCTGTACAGCTCAGGCCTCAGCAGTCAGGTCAGAGGTGTCTTTATGAAGGTATGGGCAGTCCATAGCGTGCCCCAGCAGCAAGGAATGACTCCTGCCACCTATTCCCCAATGATTTCCCAGGGTCCTCCCTGGCTCCAGCTTCAGCTCCAGGAGCCTCCTCCCCAGAGAAAGAAGTAACTGTGGATGCCACCCACCAAGGACGACCCGGACTCCACGGCCTACACAGTTGGCCACAGCCGATAGCTTGCTCCTATTGCTCAGCAGTTTCAGGGTAAGGTCAACAGCTAAGTGGGGTCAGTGACCTTCCTCAGCAACTTGGCAGAGCTCATTTTTATTCTCAACTGTGGGTTCAGCTAAGCAAATAAAGAG